TGGAACAGAATCCACTTCACCAATAGTCAAGTTTAGTGTGGATTCAGCTTTCAAACAAACTTGACAAAACTTGTGATGAGGAATATATTAGGAAAATCAATTAATCAATCAATCAATTTTATTTACAACCAGAAGGCCAAATGAGTAAGTTACAAACTCAATCTAAATTAATATATTAAGAAAATAAACTCATTGAGTGCGCTATCACAAAAATTAATCTTAATTCTTTAAAATCCTACTTAGCTTATTTTTCTGCAGCTGTTGTCTTAACCAGAAAGACATTTGAAAACTCTTTTCTATTAATTCTAACATTAAAAAACTTTATTAAAAAACTTTAAATTCTGCCAAATATTACATGTTTACTTTCTCTACCTTCCATGCATATGTAGAACATTCTCTGTACTATGTAGAAATATATAAATAAATAGTCAGGCATGCTCTGTGAGGCCAATAGAGCAACAATATACTGATTTTTCTAATGATATCTATTTCAGTAGTAAAAAAATTTATAGTTGAGGAAAATTCATCTTTTTGCAACGCAAATAGGAGGATACTGGTAGTCCTCGGTTAACAACAGTAATTGGGATTGGAATTTGTATTGCTAAGCAATGTGGTCATGAAGCAGGCCATCACACAACCATATTGCTTAGCTTCTGAGGTCTTCCAAAGCCTCGCGAGAGTGGGCCATGCTATTCCAACAAGAGCATGAGCAGGAAGAAAGCCTGGTGAAGCCACAGCTACCTCCCATAGGGCCAGGTCAGGCATGTTTACTTAGCAGGGGAAGGAAGGCAGCTAAGGTCAGTTGGGTGCAGCAAAGCAGAGTGCCAGGGACTTTGCATTGTGGCGGTTGGTATGGGGCTTGAGGCAGCACTCCTTGGTAGTGACTACATTGAAATGGAGGCTTGAAGACAATGGTGGCCAGATGAGATGCTGAAGGCCCTGGACCTCTACTTCAACCCCAGCATTACTGCTAAGGAGCGCCACAGGGAAGAGAGACAGATGGTGGTGGTAGGTTTGAAGGTCTAGGTGTGGGCAAGCAACCAAGTGTTCGAAATTTCAGGGGCTTGGTGTAGATACCATTTGTTCGGTGTTGCTGTTAACACTGAATGGCTGCTAAACAATCATAATTTGGGAGCTACCTCTATAGTGCATTTCTAAATGTTCTGCTATTGTGGACTACTAAATATTTAAAAAATATGGGTGAGGGCACCCAAACTCATCCTCCCTATGTTTCTGTTTTTAAAAACATGGGAAGTCATGCTTCTTAATGAATAAGATAATGCTTATAGTTATATTTGCATATGCTTTGTTCTACCTTTATTTTTAAAGGCCTTTTAAAATTTAATTTTGTACTAAAATGTATTTACCATTTGAATTATTTTGTATTCCATGCCATGTCAAGAATGTTCTTTTGTCTGAATCTCTGAGTTCTAAGTCTTTCATATCAGTGAGGATGATGTTACATTTCTTCTTGTACTAGGAGATTCATATTCGACTTGATGGTGGATAATCTGACCACAGAAACTATATACCATCAGAAAAGTTCCAAGTAGTGAACATAAGGAGGAAGGATTGAGGGACTGAGCAGACTGTAACCAATGAATACAGAAAGACTGCAGATTGCCATTGGTCTGCAGGCCACAAAACGGGTTTCACTGCTATAAATAATAGAACAACTAGGATACAACTAGCAACTATCCTCAAAATATCTGTAATTCTCAAGATCCACAGCACATTCATCATGTGAGAATGGGAAAATCAAATTTTACATGAATTAACTCAGGTATTTCAAAATTAATATTACTTGCCCGATGTTTATGTGTATGCAAATCCTCAATCCAGTTTAAGATTACCTACTGCAATTTCTTCTTTATTCATACTTCCCTCAGAGGGATTGGAAACCTAGACAGCTTATGAAATTTTAATAATGCAGTTTTGATTTTTAAAACCCCAAAGTGTCCACTGTATTGAATTAGTTTTGGATCACTTTAGATCAATTAAACCATTATTATAGAACAAAAGAATTCCTCATGCTACTAGGCTCGAAATTCTTGGTTTGGATAACTTAGAACTGTGTCGCTTGTGGTCAGACCTATATATTGCATACAAAATTATACATAGTAATGTGTTACCTGTAAATGACTTTTTCGGCTTTAATCGCAATAGTATGCGCATGAACAACTACTTTAAACTCAGTGTAAATCATTCTAAACTTGACTGTGAAAAATATGGTTTCTGTAATTGAGTTATCAAAGTGTGGAATGCCCTACCTGATTCAGTTGTCTCAGCTACAATTTTTCACAGTTTCAGTCACAAATTGACTTCCGTGGACCTTACTTCATACTTAAGTGGTCAGTAGAGGGGGCATGCATAAGTGCTCTAATGTGCCTATTGTCCCTGTCATTGTACTTTTATTCTCTTATTCTTGTTCTTGTTTTTTGTTTGACAATTTCTAATAAATAAATAAAAATATACCTTCTTCATCTTCCCATTCTAAATCTAAGGAATTGCTGTCATCATTTCCACTTGTGGATTTGGTTTTGGTCATTAAATCACAACTGCTCTCTGTATTTGGTGTTAGAACAGTAGCATCTGATGAAAGTCCTGTAATAAAAAAAAAAAGTACTTGAACAGAAGAGGAGAGGAATAGAAGGGAAAAGGACATGAAAAATAATTCCTCATTTGCACACTGATAAGTTCTCAACAAATTTTTATAATTTATTTTATAAAGTAATAGTACTTTAGTAAAATGAATTGATTCACAACATTTTTAATTTTTTTCAATAATAATAAACAGTTAAATGAATATTTTAGCAATATTAATGTTTAGTCAAGTAATGGACTGGAGTTCCTGAAAACAAAACTTGGTTCCACAGGAACTTCTGATAAAGGAAAACAATCTTTTCTTCCTAAAGCCATCTATAACTTTCCAAAAATTAACTATGGATACGTTGGGTGCAAAGAATCAGGAAACACATGTTCTAGTTCAGCTGATTTATTGCTCATATCTATAGCACTTAGATTTATATACCACTTCATAGTGCTTTATAGCACTATCTAAGTGGTTTACAAAGTCAGCATATTGCCCCCAACAATCTGGGTCATCATTTTACTAATGGATGGAAGTCTGAGTCAACCGTTCAGGATCAAACTTCTGGCAGCGGGCAGAATCAACACTGCATTCTAACCACTGCACCATCATGGCTCAGAATCTAGTCAACGAATGGTCAGCACTAAATTGGAGCTAGACCACAGTTAATGGAAATAAAGAGGGGGCTGGACTTGGACCACTCATGAGGAAATAGTGATTATAGGATGAGTCCTCTCTTGATTCTGACCTCTGCCTCTTGCTCTTCTATATCATGGAGCTAGGTAAACCTCTTGGAGACGATATAGGAACTACATCAGAATCTGAAAACATATCCAATGTTTATCTTTCATCAAACAAACAAATATATATATAAAGCCTCCTAAATAAAAGAAAGTAATGATGTCTTTCAGAAGTAAGGAGACATTGCTCGTTTCAAAAGGAATTGAATGATTGCAATTCATAGTCATATAAGACATTAGAGGCTGTTTTATGCTCACTGACATGTAGGTGAAAATAGCAAATTACAAATGGGGAAATTGTAGAAAATATATACATAGAAAACTTACTACTAGTGCGGAAAGCTTCATATGGCAGTTTTACATTTCTCAAATAAGAATCCAAGTCTTCTTCTACCATAGAACTGTAAAAAAAAGTTATACCAAGTAGGCCTATGTTCAGAAAAATATTTTGGAAATGAAAACAGGTCTACTATGCTGACAAAATGTATTAACTTCGTTTTTATTTTAAGAAAAGTATGTTGCATGAGTGGCTGCCAAAATTCATTTATGGATGATCATAAGTAGAACTGAAAACCTTATCTAATACAATTGGATTTATAAAAGAGATAGCATTAGCTTTTGCTTTGTTCTTGCCTTTTTTTCTATATTTTCTGTTAAACATGTAAGGTATACAATTCTACTATTTGAAATTCAAATTTTAAATAGTTTCTGACTTACTGCTTATTTAAAATTCCTCTTCCTCTTCCTCAACTTTAGTTGTTCCTCTTACCTTTGGGCATCTCCGTGATTTGCTTTCTGAGTTATTCTCTGCAATTTTTGTTGCTAACAAAAATAAGGGGAAAAAAAGAAACAGCCACTTAATGATAAGATCTTCCAAGTTAAGAGTATAAGCAATATTATCATAGCATATCAATTTCCAGGGTCAGTACTCAACAAAATAACATACGTTTGTTTGCACTCCATGTCTGATATGTTGTTTCTCATTGGCACTGGAATGTATGTTATGTGAATAAAAGTAATATAGACTGTCCAAACTTATAAGATCAGACAATTCAAATATGAGAATGAGTTAAAAATATTTTTTAAAATATTCCATAATTTATTATTGCTTGTAAATGAACAAAAACAATTTTCATGATATCTCTGAGAATTCTACCTTGTAACAAATTAAGAATTAGAGAATTCAATCTGCAATAGTTAGCCTGATGCTGAGATCATAGATCAACTAATTCTTGAAAAGGTAATATTGTACGGTGAAGGCAAAATAAATACCTCCTTTTGAAAGTGTAGAAAAAAGAATATTAAGACATTTCCTTTGCTTGAAAAAAAAATGCATTTCTCTAAATGAGTAATATGTAAAAGCAGCTTAGTATGTGGAACTGTTGTAGCAAGTAATCATCTAATTCGCTTTTTGAACTGGGCTATTCGTATCTTCAGTAAAGGAGCCTTTGAAACAATGGCATCCCTCATTTTTTTCTATATAAAGGGCACAATCCAACAAGCTGTGTCAGATTCCTGAGCATAGTATGTTTTTACACACACATGTGCACCCTCCTCTGTAGCCTTTCACATAGCAAATAATTTCAGTCTTGATTTTTTTGGGCTACTAGTCTGCATGCTACTATTTCTATGACCTTAATGTGTTTTGGCCCTGATGTTCCACTCACCTTTGATTTGGAATCATTTTCAATAAGCAAACAAACAAATCCCTAGAGATTTGTTGAAATGTGGGCAAACAACAAAGATTTCTAACAATCTCTCTTCTCCTGAAATATCTGGCTTGAGAGGAAAATACCTAATTTGTTACTTTCTTGTAGGTATCAATTCATAATTAAACTGCCTTGCAGGGCTCTTAAAATCAGCTAAAGTATAATGTTGTTCTGTAGGAGACTTAAGCAATATTAGCCTTGTTAGGCCATAGGTTAATGAGCCAGAAAACCTATCAGAGGGAGATACAAGAATTCAGGTTCCTAATTTGCTCATGCATGCAATTCCCTGATTACCGAAGAAGCAGTTTTAAAATGTGAGATCAGACATTATTTGACAGTTTATCACTTCTGTAGTGTGTAAAGACCTCAATGTTGACATTTGTGCTAGAAACATATTTCAAAGAAGGGACAAAAAACAACAAACAGGTAAAATTAAACTCAGAAAGGTTGAGCATAAAAAAAATACTAGTGAAAAGAACAGAATGGAAAGACATAAAGTTACAAATTGTTTAAAAATGAAAACTAATATTTATTTATGGATGATTGTAATAACAATGATTCTATTCATATTCCAAAGAGAGTAAGAACATACATGATTATTCCCAACTACACTCTGAGGCAAATATAGCTGAAATATATTAATATTACAGACAGTTTTCAGTAAATGTCATAACTGAGATCTCATTCTATGTATCCTATAATATGAAATGTCACTGACTATTTCTGATTGGTTTTCAGATTTACTTTATGGATTATATTACATTTCCCTTTTTGCTTTCAATGATTTTCCTCTACATCCTTAATATTCAAGTTCTTTACTTTTTTTTTTTTTGCAAAATACTCCCTTCCTTCTTTGTTGCCAGTCAACAATTTATAATAAGCCCAAGTACTGTATTTAGAACAGAATCGAATTCTTTACTGGCCAAGTATGATTGGACACACAAGGAATTTTTCTCCAGTGCATAAGTTCTCAGTGTACATACAAACAACAAATGATAAATCATGATCATAATAATCATAACAATACATTAATCATAAATCATAAGATTTTACACTAAACTGCTAATGCCGAATTAAACACCCTATTTTTGTGAATTAACAATTCTGTAGAACAGCTTCGTGTGCAAATATAGATACTGAAATATTATGATTCATTCACAAGTTAAAGCCAATAAATGCTGGAGTTTAAAATAGAAAGAAGACAAGGATCTTGGCATACATATTATATTAAACAAACATGGACAGGACTTCTTTATTTGTTCAGCAATTTTTATTGGCCAAAAGAAAAAAACTACAAATCAGAGAGCATTAGCAACTTATCTACATGGTATGAACCATAAGTGTAAAAAAAATTGGCTTAGCATTATAGCTAGTATCTAGTGAGAAACCAGAAAAAAATAGAAACTGCTACAAATCAGTGTTAATGCTGGATGTTGTTTTAAAAAGCACATGAAACTAAGAGGAAGATATAAATAGACACTCTAATACATATATATTTGGGGTCTTTTCCCCTCACCTCCACGAACTTTCTTTGCTTTGCTGCCCTGGCTCTTTCACGCTGCACAGCATATAAAGTCTCCTCTTCTATTCTTAACTTCTCCTCTTGTATGGCTAACTGTATATGAACAAAATAATAATGGTTAACGAAATAAAACCTAGCTATCTCTCCTATGAAAGTAAGTGCACTAAATTTAAAGTAAAGGTACTTATAAAAAAATATGAAACATAAAATATACTAAAATTTAAAAATAAAGTATTTCATATTTAAGACAACTTTTAATTGCACTATGCATGCTATTTTAAAATTCCTTTATCTTTTTTAGTTTAATTAGTCATGTCTTTTTCTATTACACGTTTTTATTTGAAATGTAGGGCAGACATTTAAAGCATTTTATTTAATGGTATTAACTTATGTAAGACAAAGGAGAAGATCAAAAATTGTCCTTCAATACTGATAAAGAATGAAGTAATAATTACTTCCATTCTAAAAGTAATATTGATTTGAGCCCGTATTTAGGCAGCAACATACATTTATCCATGAAGCAAACAACGGTTGCTTGGTCTAAATTGAAGTGGCTGCTCTGAGCCTGAGGCAACTATTTTCAAACTTGAGTGCCTTCATATGCAGAAAGCACAGTTATTTACTGTTCGAGTTACCTAGTTAGACACATTTTTATGCTTCTATAGATGTAGAGTTCTAACTGAAACACATGGGAAGAAAACTCACCAGATTAAATTACACAGCATTACACAAATAATGAGAAATATTTTTGTTACAGAACACATTTTCAGTACTTCAACTACCCAAAGGACAAATTTTTGCATTTTTCCCTGTGTTTATAGTATTATTACTGTAAAGCAGTAGCAAGGGATCTTCCATTAATTAAGCCAAGCAATTTTATAATAAAGGATATACAACTAATTATTGATTTTACTTCTAACTTTCAGAGTGATACTGAAACAGACATGTACAATCTTTTTCACAATGGCATATACTATTACCATGCTCTCCTGTTTTCTTAATACATTTCTAAATTACCCATTAACTAGAAATTTTCTGGATACATCATAGTTATAGTAGCTTAAAGCAAACAATAAAGTAGCAATAATTGATACAGTATTTGATAAAAATAAAAGGAAATTAGCTGAAAAGAACAACAAATATGTTACAGAATGGGAAAACAATCTTAAGCCAGGTACCTGATATATCTCCTTAGCAGCTGCACAACCTTTCTAATGTTCCTCTTCACAGAAAAAAACTACATTGTTGCTATTTGAAGATACTACCCAATTTAGACAATTATTCCACACTCCATAAAGCACTGACTGTAAATCTCGGTCCAAGGTTTGAAGCTTTCAATGCAGATCAAGTGGTACACAAGGAGAGGGTCACACAAAATACTCAGAAGCCAAGCCATAACCATCAGTTTTGGAAGCTTGGAATGATTTTGGCTACTGGGCCTTTGAATAAGAAATGACTGCACAAATATTTTGTCCTCTTTGTGTCAACATTTATCTAGTACTCCAAGCTAATACCTAGCTGGTCCTTTTACACTAAACTTTAGTAACATTTATCTAAACCATTTCCCTATGAATTTATTTTCATTCATGACAACATTTCTGCTTGGTATTTTTTCCTCCTCACTCAATCCCTTTAATTTCAATATTACAATATCCACATTGGATGCTTCACTCACAAAGTTTCCATCTTCAATCAGCGAATTATGAAAACACATTATTTGTGTGCTACTAGAAATTATTTGTCCACGCACAAAGAGTTATTATGGTTACCTCTGACTGAAGTTTGTCATCTAAAGTTCTCTGTTTTTCAGCAATGGAATTATATTGCCTTTCTTGAAGAGCAGAGATTTCTTCTTCTGTCAGAGGTCTGAAGAAAAAGAAGAAAGAGTGCCACGCCCGTCATTCTGATCTCTTTAGAGCTGGAATGTCAGTTTCAATGTTTAAGAATTAGAAGGTTAAGAAATTTTCGGCATACAAATCTGTACTGAGGCATCTTTTCTGAGTGCCGAGACAACTGGTCATTATAGGAGCAATGGTGGTGCAGTGGTTAGAATGCAGCATTGCAGACTAATTCTGCTGACTGCCACCAGTTTGATTCTCACTAGCTCAAGGTTGACTCAGGCTTCCATTCCTCTGAGGTCAGAAAAATGAGGACCCAAATTGTTGAGGGCAATATGTTGACTCTGCAAACTGCTTAGAGAGGGCTGTGAAGCATTGTGAAGCTGTATATAAGTCTAAGTGCTATTGCAACAGTCAATTAAAAACAAACAAACCAAAATAAACAACAAGAGCCAAATTCAACCTCACATCCAATAGAGAAGTGATGTTTTGCATATATTTTTGCTTATATTTCAGCTTTAAATCTTATTACTCAAATTATACCGAAACAGAAGAGGCATCACATTAGCATTTTAAATATTTTTAAAAACATATAGTATACAATTGCTTTTGTATAGTGCATATTTTTACTAAATTTACTATGATCCATGTTCTTTTATCCAATTCACCATCCTTTCCACTGTGGGACTCTAAATTAAAGTATTTTAACAGAGGACTGAGCAATCACATTAACTCATCCAATGAGAAGAATTCACCACAAACCAAAATGGAGTGTTTGGGATTGGATCATGTCCAGCACCACAAATCACTATCTGGACAATATGCATAAACCAACTCCAGAATGTTTTGACAAAAGAAAAACATAATGTTTCAACAGAAAAGTAAAGGTATCACAGATGAATTGCTCCATCCTGCACATCTGTATTTACCATCTTCCTTAGTAAGTAGTTCTACAATTGAATTTAATTTCTCATTAGCAAGTTTCCCCAAACATTCAGAGGAAAAAGCCTCCTTTTGAGACAAGAGAAAACACATAGTAACCTTTTGTGTAACTGATAAATGTTCTCCACCTCTTCATGCAAACCATTAATGAATATGTTGAAGAGAATTAAAACAAGGACCAAATCCTATGACATCTCACTGCATACCTCAGTCTACTTTAATGAGCAGCTACTGATTAACGTTCTTATGGAACAGTTCACTAGGTAAATCTACTTTTCTGAAATCCAATATCTGCATTTCATACTTTGCTTTAGTTTATCTTAATATCAAGAATTCCACTATTAGAGATTTTCTCTAAAAATCAGCAAGTCTTCCCATTAGTCAGAGATAACCACCTTACGCTTTTCTGCGAACCCATGAAGAAGAAACTTTCTAGGCCCATAACTACAGAATTTGTTTTACAAATGAAATATATCTTTTAAAAAGAACTAACACTACAATCAAATAAGTATTTTAGATTTCAAAAATGTCAATTTGCTGAAATGAATTAAATTAAAAAAGTAGATGATTAAAAAGAACGAAGCAAGGAGCATATATGAGAATGGAAAGCAAATCAATACATGAATATAAACTCATACCTTTGGTTGCTTCCTGGACTTTCACCCTGTTTAAAAAAATAAAATGTAATGCTTTTTAAAAATGAATATAATTATAAAGTTACTTTCAAAATTGATCTGAAATCTATAACTTTAAACCCCCAATCTTTTAAAATATCAAATCAATATAAAACTATCAAATTAAAATATTTAGAAAAACATCTATTGTTATATTTTCAGGCAATAATATGTAAATCCTTCTTCTATTCTTCTCTGAAGTGGAACTGCAACTCTCTGGATTTTTAAAATCAGATTGAGCAGCAAGTCTAAAGAATGCACATTTCAAAGCAAATATAAATTCTTTAATGGAATTATCAGTTGATCAACAGATGTGTTATTTTTATTTTATTTCAAATTATATCTTAAGATTGAATTGTTTTGCCTCTTACAGTTACACTAAATGTCACAGAAGCAAATCTGTTCACAGGACTGTGGTTTCTCATGGTTAGTGAGAAACTGGACATTCACATTCCACTCACAGCTTCTCAGCTATAAAGATAGCTATTAGAGCTTCTTAAAGGATGAAGAAGGTCACAAACAAGATGTGTAATTTATCTTTCTTTACCAAATGAGAGGATTTATTATTGAAAAAATAAAGATCCACTTTACAAACAAAATCTTGGATACTGTGCCAATCTCTTATACAAAACCTATATTTACATTAAATATATTATACATGTATCTTATGATTAATTTATATTGAAGGTGCTTATCAAATTTTACTTCAAAGTATGTCAGAGGCAACTTCAGCAAGCAAAGGGGAAAAGCCCATATAAAAGGCTTCTAGAATTGAATCCTCTCCTAATATCTATATATCTATATCTATATTTATCTGTCTGTCTGTCTACACTGAGGTGTATAAAATAACTGGATATTTATTAGCATTCTTTTGAAAAAGCCAACATTATTTTCCCTGATCAAAGAGCTAAGTTTCCCCCAAATGATTATTACATAACACTATGAATATATAATTTGTCTAAAAAGAACATAATTTAAATAACACAAAATTGTGATTATTCTTAAAACATGGCGTATAACATTTCCCCATCATTCTGCACAGACGCCAGAAACTAAATGTAGTAGTGCAATAATTAATTCTAAGAATTAAATAAATCTTAAGTGCAACCTCTTCTAAACAGTTTTCCAGTTCACAACACTTTTAGTTGCTCTAATTTCAAATACCTTATAAACTAATTTGCATATATAATACATCTACTGAACTTAATAAGGTCAGTATGAAGAACTTACTTCATCACTTTCCACTAGGTTTTCAAACTGAAAATAAGATACGATATTTCAATTAATCAAGCATAAATAATGTGTTTATTATATAAATACCAAATATATATCTACTTCAGACAAAATAAATGTCAGGTGTAGTAAAACTTAGCAGCTATTTTTTAATAAAAACTGTAAATTATCACTTTAAATTTAAGTGCATAGTACAAATATATAATTTTTTTTGTGTATGTGTATGTATATATATATATGTATATATATGTGTGTATGTATGTATGTGTGTGTGTGTGTGTGTGTGTGTGTGTGTGTATATATATATATATATATATATATATAT